TAAACTACAGGCCAATATCTTTATTAGAAATTACCGGGAAACTATTGGAAAAAATATTAAATTCAAGACTTATAGCCTTTTTAACACAACATGGGAAAACTAACAACAGACAACATGGATTTATTTCCAATAGAAATACCCTAACTGCAATAGCTATAGTAACGGAAATAATTGCAATAGAAAAAAGCAAGGGTAACCAGATCAATATAATTTTAAGGGATGTTTCTAAGGCTTTTGATAAAGTTTGGCATTTAGGCTTGAAATATAAAATATTAAAACTGGGACTTAACGAATACTTGCTAAGAATATTGTGTAACTATTTAGATGATAGGAGAGCACAAATTCAAATTGGAAACTTTTTAGGAACTATGTTTAATCTTGAGAGTGGAGTAACTCAAGGAGGATGCCTTTCTCCAACACTATATACAATTTATACTTCCAGACACCTCAACCTACCTCTTTAGTGAATAATATGTAATGTTTGCTGATGATATTACTCAAATAGTATCATACCCAGGAAAATCAACTCAATTTATGGCACTCTACACGGTAAGAGCGATAAAACATAAATGATTTTGAGAAAAAATGGAAAAATCAGGACAAATAAGAATAAATTCAAGATAATACCAATAGCCAAGATTAAAAACAAGTCCAGGCAATAGTCGACCAGGAACTATACCATACGATAATTGAAGGTAGGATGCTTTCTGGATTAAAAACTAACAAAAAGAGGATATATAACATACTTAAAAGATAAAGAACGACAGGGCAAGACAAGATTATCAAAATAAAACGCTTAAGAACCTTAGCATTAATAACAATAAAAAAGAAAGATTTATATTGCTCCCTTGTCAAATCAATTATGGATCACCACCCATCCCATTGAACACCCTTAGTAAAACGTGCATTAAAAAGTTACAAACAGTACAAAATATAGCCCTCAGATTTATATATAACATAAAATATACAGACCACATCAATAATGAACAGCTACACAAGAGAGCAAACCTCTTAGCAATCAATGTAGATATACACAACAAAGCTGTAAATATTTGGAAAAAAGTGACTGAACTTAACACAGAAACATATCAAAACTGGATAAATAATATAGACAACGAAGGATTCCAAGAACACAGTTGGTTTAAATCAGCCAGGAAGAAAGTAATTGAACCATCTCCTGCCCCAATATACATATAAAACATTAATAGAGAGAATAAAAGATGAGAGTGACCTACCAGCTCCACAAGAACCTGGTAGGCCTCTCCATACAATGTACCTTTAGACTAACATAACTAATATTTAACATTTAACATTTAACATTTAACATTGAACTAACATCTTAGTAAGAGAAAAAAAAAAAAAAAAAGACTACCTCCCAGCTACACAAGGACCTCAAGGCTCACTAACTCAAAAAAAAAAAAAAAAAAAAATATATATATATATATATATATATATATATATATATATATATATATATATATATATATATATATATATATATATATATATATATATATATATATATATATATATATATATATATATATATATATATATATATATATATATATATATATATATAATATTAATAATAATAATGTGATTACCCTCCCAGCTATATCAGCCAGGAAGAAGTAATTGAACCACCTCCTGCCTCAATATACACATTTCTACATAAAACATTACTAGAGGAATAAAGATGAGAGTGACCAACCAGCTCCACTAAGAACCTGGCAGGCCTCTCCATACAGTGTACCTTTAGACTAACACAACTAACACTTAACTAACACCTCAAAAAAAAAAAAATGTGACTACCCTCCCAGTTACACAAGGACCTGGGCGGGCTCACTAACTCCAACAATAAAAAATAATAATAATAAGCAGCATTATATAAATAAACCAATATTAATACAAAGGTCTGACGACCCAAGGGAGCAGAACAAAGACAAAACACCAATAAGAAAGATGAAGCGATCTGGTTGAGCCCAGATTCTTTCTACTCCTACTGTATTTCAGTTTCACCACTTTTTCTTCAATTCCTAATAATCTTCTTTCACCTCTTAACTAATGACTTCGTATCGTATCGTAAGCCAGTTGCCTCTAAAGATGTCTTGAATAAAGACGAAAGCTAAGGTGCTCCATTGTTTCCATTTTCCCGTGTGATTTTATCAAGATATTTAATAATATGTAATATACAGTGTATATTGTCATGTAAATTATACAATAAGAAAATGTTTGACGAAATTTACACTAAAACGAGAACTCCGGTCGAATTGTAAAATATTCAATACATTTCCTCCCATTTTAATTTTATTCTGTCATTCTGGCTATTCTCAGCAGTCTGGTAACTGTTGCTTGACTTCATCAACTGGTTCTGACTGAAGCATCAACTGTTAATGTTGAAAATAAGTAAAACACGTTTTATTTTACTCTAATTGATATACAAAAAGAAGTGTGATGGTTTAAGAGTTACGGTACACACAACCATATCATATCCTTAAAAATGTAAATAATACTCGATATATGAAGAATGCATTTATATATTTCACACAGGTATCGGAATAACTTTACAAGTTGCTATTGATCTGGATACATTTTCATGTTATAACATTTAACAGACATAATAACTGTTTACGTTTTTCGTCTTTTCAGTACAAACACACATAAATACATACATACTATTTCTGTCATTAGAATCACATGATCGACTTTTAACGAATAACACCACCTAGATCTTGATTTTTAATTAGCACGCATAGTGATACGTATATGCTTCAACACAAGTCTGGTAAAATAGCCACCTTCGTGAGCTATTGTTTTTCCACGTCTGTGAAAAAGTAATAAAACGTGTCTTGTGATAGATAATCTTTGCAGTAATAATGGGATGGTGCATCGAGGAATGAATTTGGAGGCCTAGATTAATAAATTTTTGAGGCTCCCCATTGTTTGTTCTTTTTATAGATTCTGAAACTAACCTGCTTATTTGCATATTCCCTTTTCAAAGTATTTTAATCTAATAAATGTTCTTGTTCTAGTATACTGTACAGTTTCAAAAAATTTTCATCACAGTTTGGATATTTAGACATTAGTACTAATTAAAAAAAAAAAGTGCCGAATTACTCCTGGGTTTACATCTAAAGTATTTCCATGAATTAAACAAAAAACAAGTTCAAAATGTTTGATCAATTCCAATAATTCAGGGAAAGGATAAAGTAAATGGCCTTTCCTAATATTTGAAATCCAAGAATTCTTTGAAGGTTCTCCAAGAAAGTGAGGGTGAGTTTCTTTGAGCTTAAATGCTATGTAACCTGCTACATATTTTAATGCTTCCTGTTAGGCATCTATGCTCTCCTTACTAGGACAACCCTGGTTGTCTATTGTCTGAGACATTATCAGTTGTACTTCATGATACTCAATGTCGTCAACTTCACATTCAAAAAGCTGAAATCCTATATTGCGTGCTGTACAATATGGCGTGTTATCATCGGTTTCATCTTGTACCTCGACTAATGTAGACTGGAAAAGAGAAGCAGGTACATCTAAGTCTAACAATAAAATCCTAATCCTTGCCTCAAAATCACTGCAATCTGCATATGCACCTGCCCCAATGAGCCGAACACAAGAGAAAAAATTCTCAAGGGCATCCTGAGTTAATGTAGATGTTAAACCATAATTTACATTGCATTTATATTGAAGGAAGTTGAAGATCTTAGGTAGTGCATTTCCTGCAATAACCAGTGCTTTTTGACAGGGACTTAATGGACATTTCATCAAACGAAAGTACTGTCAATCTTTCTGAACTGTTTTTAGTAAACCATTTGCATTTAATAAATCCAGGCTTTTAGTTAAGATTCCTGGGGGAGTTTGAAAGTTCATTATTCATCGGCTAAGACATTCTGCAGAGGGTAATGGATAATTTAATACATTAGTAACGAAACCATAAGCTTTGGAAGAGATGGACTTAGTGCCAAAGCTTTAGCCACACTGTCTTGGTTCCAAGGACTTCTAGATGCAGGATTCGATAATCTTCTTAACTGTGCATTGGAGAATATGGCTGCCGCAGGCTTCCAAGTATTTTGCTTCCTTATTGTAGATTTAGCTGCCCGAAGATAGCTTTGGAAATGTTTGACACTCGCCTTATTATTCATATATTTTGTTCTCCAGTAGTTTACCGACCTGAATAACAGAAAGAAAGGTACAAATCATGAGTGTTGCTAAATTCCGTCAGTCAACAGTTAAAAGATTTTTGTATGTCTAAAAGCGAGTGTGTATCTGCCCTTTGTGAGCCAGGGTGGACAGATGTATGATGAGTCTAGATGTGGATAGATAGATGACATGAGAGAGTCTGGATGGATGTGGATAGATAAATGATATGCCAGTCTGGATGTCGATAAACAGATGATAAGGGAGTTAATAAGGGTGGATAATTATACATGAAATAATACATAAGGTTAAGGGTTAAATATATATTTTACAAAATAAATTCAAACTATGAAAGATGCTCTACCATCTGTTACTTAACTTAAATCATTATGCAGACTTCATGTGGGTGGGAAACAGACTTATTTCTTAATACATGAAAATAACTTACAATTTGTGCGAAGGCTTTTTACATTTTCTTCTGGAAGAAGGTCCCAGTTCTTGATCATGTCCATCTTTTTGAATCTGTCCACCATCAGTGTCTCCATCATTCAGAATATGTCCACCACCTTGACTGAGTCCACCATCTTGACTGAGTCCACCACCTTGACTGATTCCACCTTCTTGACCGAGTCCACCACCTTGACTGAGTCCACCATCTTGACTGAGCCCACCAATTTCCGCTTGATTTGGGCGTGAAGCGTCTTTTCTATTCAGGAACACTTGAATCGGTAGCAGTTTTCTGAAGCAAAATATATTGCAGATAATTTTTTTCCCATGAAATATATAATTGTTGTAGGTTATTACTATACCGGTACTGTATTGTGAGTAATGAAATTTCCTACCCAGGTACAAGTAGAAACCTATTATAAGAGTAGAAGCCTAGTACAAGTTATGATTCCAGCTGCATCATGACCATCATTGATAACTAATTGTTATATAGTTAAGGAAACTAATTTATGACACATGAAATTTCCTTACAGCACTGAATGACTAATATACATTATCCATTTATTTGGAAAAATATGCTTCTATTCTGTCCATGTTATTGTAAGCAGACTAAGGTCCGTACTATAAAATCATCGCCAGGTCTGGCGTTCATTCTCTGCGTAAGAAATGTGCTAGGCTGCGTCTTCGTCACACGTAATAATTCAAGAGTACAGCCGCTAGTTTCCAGTTATATTTGTGTATTATTAAAAAACATTGCCAAAGTATGACATGCGTGACGGTGTAGCCTACCGATGATGATGATGATGATGGAGATAAAATGGCAATGGTTTGCCATGGGAAGGGAGAGAAGAGGTAAGGTAGAAGAAAAGTTATGAAAAGGGAAGTAAAGTAATAGAGAATAAGAGCAGGTGGGCTATCCACCTAGCAGAGACGATTTGATTGGCTGCGGTGAAGGCTGCACTAAGAGGTCGCCCGAGCTCAAGGGAACAGGGGGGGGAGCTAGCTAGCAAGGGGTTGTTTGTTATTGTGTTAGTTGGAGAGGTCTGCTAGGTCCTTGTGTGACTAGTAGACTACTCTCATCTTCTATCTTTAATATTATTGTAGAAAATAAGGTCTGACTGGCGTCAAGAAATGTACCTACATCAATACCCGTATATTAAAGTAAACTTTTAACCAAATACTGAAATAAAGAAAACAAATAGCAAACTCTTGGCTTTTTAAGGTATACAATTTAGCATGAGACAGCACATCCTTATGAAAGAACCAATGCAACAACTTGCTCTTTGGAGACTAATGTGTGTTAAATAGCAGTGATTACAGTAGGCTGTTGGTGAATTTGCACCATTATTTCTGTTTCAACCTACTTGAATCATACATTATTAAATACAAATTAATCAATAAAACAGGTTGAACTGGAAATTAACTACTGTACGTATTACAAAATAAAGGAACCTTTAAAAAATAAAAATAAGTACATGAGTCTGCTTTCAAAGCTATACATTTGATTGTGGTATGAACTTTTACCCAAAACCTGGGTAAACATTATCCTTAGTAGCACTGCAACACATAAGCAAGTTTGCGGATGACACCAAAATAGGGCGGCAAATTAATTCAGGGCAGGATGCAAATGCATTACAGGAGGATCTAAATAAACTGCAGGGGTGGTCTGAAAAATGGCAAATGAAATTCAACACCAGCAAGTGCAGCGTACTTAATATTGGAAGAACAAATACTTATAATGTATACAGCCTTAACAACATCAACCTAGAGAAGTCGACTTGTGAAAGAGACCTAGGGGTACTTGTAAGCCCGGACCTACGGCCTAGAAAACAGTGCGTTCATGTTCGAAATAAGGCAAACAGAGTATTGGGTTTTATATCTAGAAGTGTAAGTAACAAGAGTGCAGAGGTCTTATTGCAACTATATCTTGCGCTAGTCAGGTCGCATCTCGATTATGCGGTTCAGTTCTGGTGCCCTTATTATAGAATGAATATAAATTCACTAGAGTCGGTGCAGCGAAGAATGAAAAAATGATTCCGGGACTTAGAAACCTTCCATATCAGGATAGGTTAAAGAAACTTAACTTGCATTCCCTAGAAAGACGAAGAGTGCGGGGAGATATGATAGAAGTATTTAAGTGGGTGAAAGGAATCAATAAAGGGGATATAGATAAAGTTCTTATAATATCCGAACTGGATAGGACTCGGAGCAAAGGATTCAAGTTGGATAAGTTTAGGTTTAGGAGGGAGATAGGAAGAAACTGGTTCACAAATAGGGTGGTGGACGAGTGGAACAAGCTTAGCAACTTTGTAGTAAGTGCGGGAACTCTGGAAAGTTTCAAAAGGAGGCTAGATAGATTCATGGATGATAGAGTGGTAGTAACTCTCGACAGGAGCTGCCATGCACAGGCCAACCGGCCTATTGCAGACTCCTTATTTTCTTATGTTTTTATGTTCTTATGTTATTAGTTAACAAGTGTGTATATCCTCAGTCAGCAAGATAGTTAGAGAATCCTCTTTCTCTTGAACGGTCCTAAACATAGATTCCTCGCTGGAATGAATAGCCGTAAACCTAGCTCCTGAGGGTCCTGGGGTTTGTGCTCTTTCTTCTTCTGGAAGGAAATGTATAATAGTTTGATTGACGTCTCTGTTAAGGGTATAATATAAATATATAAAAGTTTTTAGAACAAAAAATGGTCTGAAAAATAGTGTTGACCATCTAAAAATATTTGTATAAAATATTTTTAAATGTAAATATAAACTAAGTTAACATGGTTACAATATTATAAATTGATTTAATTATAATATATGGCATTTAGTTCCAGGCGTTAAATTTCTTATAGAGTATTTGCACTTCTTAATTTTTTCCATAAACATACGAGTTATAACAACATTTAATATCTAACTTAGGGAAGCAATATGCAAGCTATAAATTTAGCTACCTTACTAATGTTGCTTTTTTTTAAGAATATACAAAAAATAAGTATACTGTATTTCAAAAGTAAGATATTAGTGAAAAAATAGTACCAAAATTATTTTAGGATTTAAAAACAAGGATAGAAAAGAACAAAATTTATCAGAGGGTTGGAAAAGTATGTTCAGTGAATTACCATCAATAAGTTCTTCACTTTCCAAAATCGCTGGAATCCCATGTAGAGAGGCTGGATCTAAGAGTTGAAGAACTGCTTCGTCAATTGCAGTGTATGTACAGGGTATTTTCAATTTGGGGGCCGCCTCCTTCAAGAGAAAAAACAATAAAAACTTTCTTACTGTGAGCTGTGGTTACATACACTGTACACAACTATGTTATATATACACTACTATGTTAGAAAGGAATTTATTGAAATAGCTCCAAACATTATAACCTAACCTATCATTGTAACTGTAGCCACAAAAATTCCTTTATCTATGTCAAAAGTTATTTAGATTTAAGGTAACAAACAATAAATGGTAAAATAAGTCAAAAAAATAGTCGCAGCCAGAAATTTTCAACCTGTATTAGTTGTAAACTCATAAGAGAGAACATCCTTGCCTATAAGCCGAACAAAGTAAAATTTACATATTAATGTATCCCAAATATGAATATAAATCTATTGATGAATGAAAATTAACGACATAAAAAAAAGGAATTCTATGGTAACTTACACATTATGACCTTCATTACCGTCGGAAATAAAGTAATTATTAATATGTAGTTTATAACAGTAACCAAACCTACCTAACCTAACTTCCTTACCAACGGGAGGTCTCCGCCACCCTGGACCACAAACTCATATTAACTATCTCTGTTCCACGTCAGTTGCGACACAATGACAAATGTGTCTTAAAATTGTGTAAACTATATGATAGGTATAATAAGAAAATCTAGAAGTTGTGGGGAAATTATTAACAGTAGTACAGACTTCCCTGACTACCGGGTGGGAAGATATTGGAAGCATAATGTGTACTCTAATGGTAGACCCTGCTGCCATATGGCATCACGAAAATTAGGAGCAAGTCCAAGGTTGCTGAACTGACTAAATGTGTCATTTACACACAATTGCAGGGTCCCAATTGTTTCTCGTAATATCGACAACACAACATACATACTGTATATTGATTCTCACTTTTTGTGTGTTTTCATTTCGGTATTTATGGTGATTTATTATTAATATTATTATTAATAAAGTTGTTATTATTATTAATAGTACTAAAGAATTATTATTACAGGCCCCGACGTGGGTCAGTCACTGTGCCTGGGTTGGTTAATCCACGTAAAAAAAAAATTAGGTTGAACGGTAAAGTTTTTACCATTTACTCACACGACAAACTTCGAAGAACGATGTTCTCATATAAGGAAAATATGTGTATTCATTCACGATGAAGAGCCACCACACTACTTCCTCGAGTTTACAAACACGTAAAATCGTACCAAGCCTCAGAAAAACCATAGTTAAGCTTGTTTCATATTGTCAATCAATAACCACACTAGCAATATTATGACTTACCTGTTCCACCAGCATAATTCTTATCTTGTGCCGCTTTTTTCTTAACGCTCACACGAAAGAGTTCCTTTTGATGTAATTGTCAATAATGTTTTGAATTTGAGTCTAAACTATAAACACTGTAATTTACTAAGGTAAGTTTTCTTTCGTCTTTCACAAAGTAAAATATTAAACACTAGACACACCTTACAGTGTAACTAAAATTTGTTGACTGTAAAAATCTGTAAGGCGGAGCTAAATAAGAGAAAAGAGATAGGATTGTCTGGACCAATCAGAGGCCGCCTGTGGTAAGGGCGTCCCCCATGGGTGGAGTCTCATAAAATATTTTTCTTTCTCGTCAACATTTTGGTACACTTGGTAAAACTCAACTTGGTGGATTCTCTTACCAATATTTTTATTTTTCTTATTTCTCGCCAGCGTTTTAGTACACTTGGTAAAACCCAACTATCATATATGATATTATTTTAAACAAAGAGAAGTAAGATAAAGTTGTCTCACACTTAACAGAGAGATGACTCATATCCTGCTTGTCTTATACACACTCAAAGTGATGAGTCATATCCTGCACCAAATATATATTCAGGTTTCAACTAATGATAAATGGCTGGTGAGAGAAATCTCAACTTACATTACAAAAACTCAGTTAGACTTTTATCATGTGTCAAAAAGCTACAAAATGGATTTCTCACACCAACCATTTATGTTGTCAATAAATTCAACTGAGTTTTGTACAATGATAAAAGTTGGTGAGAGAAATCCAACTGAGTATCACTTAGCTTTTTGATACATAAGAGTTGGTGTGTTGCTCCTTTGGGGAGGTGATATTTTTAATTTCTGGGATTTACCAGTTTGAAAAACTTCTTCATTACACAAAAATATCCCCAAATTTTTGGGCCAAAAAATTGGGGGTCGACCTCTACACGGGTAATAGTTTCGTTAGGTTAAAAAAATATTTACCAGTTACTGCCAGTAAACAATGGAAACAACGTCCCACCAGCTGCCAGGGCAGATCTCTTGCGTCATCACAGCGAGCCCAAAGTGGCCAAATGCATGTTATGGTAGAACAGGACTCGGATTTTTTTTTTAAGAAATCATTTTTTCTCAGCAAGGTTATGGGAGAGGTGTGAATTTCTTATAGAATGATTCACATATCACTGGAGGGTGGGAAA